TGGGTTGGAGGACCTGGATTCTATGATCTACAGGCCCTAGAATCAGGCCAGCATGTAAAGTAGAATTAATTTTCTAAATGCCAAATAGGTCTTTGAAAAAATGTATGTTCCAGGGCTGGAGAGATGGCTCAGCAGTTAAGAGCACTGGCTGCTCTTGCAGAAGACCTGGGTTTGGTTCCCAGCACACACATGGCAGCTAACAACCATCCATAACCCCAGTTCTGGGGAGCCAGTGTGCTCTTCTGACCTCCATGGGCATTACATGACACAGGGGCACTTAAATACATGCAGGCATAACATTCATATACATAAAAATAAATAAGTAAAATGATTTCCCTTTTCAAAATGTATGTTCCTGGGCTTGGTGTGGTGGCACACCTTTAATCCCAGCACTCGGGAGGCAGAGACAGGCAGATCTCTGTGAGTTCAAGGCCAGCCTGGTCTACATAGTGAGTTCCAGGACAGCTGGGGCTACAGGGAGACCCTGTCTCAAAAAGACCAAAAAAAAAAAAAAAAAATGAGTAGCCTATATGAAAAAGCAGCCCACCAGGAAGGAAGTCATATGACAACACATGAGGAGGAGGTGCAAAGCAGGTTCTGGTTTGTGATCTGAGGTGAGACCTAAGATCTCTCAACAGCTCCCAAGCTCCTGCCTGTGAGTAGTGAGGCTATGAGTAGGAGAGGGGATTCTTCAGCCAGCCGGGTTGCAATCCTAGATCTGCCTTTGCAGCTGAGAGTCTTGTACATGTAACATAATGCCTCTGGGCCTTAGTTTCCTCGTCTTCCTATGATGGGAAAGACAAAATGGGTTAATGCACAGAAAGCATGTAACACAACGTGGCAAAAGTAAGTGCTCAAAAAATGTTAGCAATTTATGGGAGTGGGAGGAAAATCAGAGACAAAAGCAATGTACCAGTCACACGTACAAGACTGGCAGATGTTAGGAGAGCCAGCGATTTCGGGGGCTGGGGAGACAGGATCTCTTACACGCTGTTGCTGAGTGCAGACTGGTGCAGTACCTTGAAGAGCAGTTTGGCAATGCCCAGATTGCTGAAGATGAGCTGACAGTGAAATTTTCAACATGAGTGTGTATGTACATGCACATGAATGCATATACATGTTTAAATGCAAGAAAGACAGAGTTCACCAAAAGGATATTCTAGGGCCTCTGCTGCCCTTCCTTCAAGGGCTCTTGGTGACAGCAGAGCTCTGGAGAGATGTGATGTTTCCAGCCCAGTCAGACATAGCCATGCCTGCACTAAAACAGGAGCCCAAAGGAGGGGCATTGTACAGCCTAAGGAGGGGCATTGTACAGCACTCAGGAGGCCGAGGCAGGAGGATTGCCTTGAGTTTGAAGCTAATCTGGGCTTACCTCAAAAAACAATAGTAACAGTGAAAATAAACAAAGGAACACTGAGGAATCACAATCAAGGGAAGCCAGAGACTAAAGGACATGAGTGAACTGGCTCAGCAAACTGACTTAAGTTACTCCATTTTGTTCAGAGCTATTTTTACAGTAACTTTGCCCCACACCAAAAGGAAAAGGGGGGCAACCTTGGGCCTTGAGAAAATATCCTAACCACGAACCCATGGAATGTGTCAATTCCAGACATTTTACATCTGGCTAACTGCTTGTTTTTGCTTCTGTAACTCGCTTGCTATTCAGGCCACCTTGACACAAAACATAAGACCACCCTGTTATCCTGTTATTCTATGACCACCTACAAGTTGTTGACTTTGGCTTTCCTTGTTATGGCTAGGACAGTTGGCTAACTTTAAGGTCACAAAGTTGAATGCTAAGTTATGTGATTACATCACTGTATAATGATTAGTTGTTGATCACTAAAATTAGAATCCTGCTATGTTGTACAAACCCGATTGGTGCACAGATATTTTGATTATACAATGCTTTCTGTAACCCTATAAAAACTCTGATCAATCAGTGCTCAGGGCTGCGTCTACTCCCAAGATAGACAGCCTGGCCAGTCGACACAATAAAATTTACCTTGCTGCTTTAACTTAAGTGGTGTTGGTGATTTTTGAACTCCAGTATACAACAATGAGTTGGTCCAGGAATGACCATTGGTCATCATGCACCCTACTCTCCACTCCGACATTCAGGGCAGACATCACTGAGTCACAGCCCGGACCTCAACATCCTGAACCCATGTTCCACATAGTAGATTATAGTTGGCACAAAAGAAGAAATCTAGGTAGTGTCTTTTCCTATGTCCACCCCCTCCGCCCTTTCCATTTCAGTGCTCATCAGCTTGTCTTGCCAGCACTGACCTCCTTTTCCTACTACAGACCAGTGGTACCAGGGACAAACAGACCAACAGCTCTCAACCAATGGCTGGCAGGACGGAATAAGTGCCCTGGTTCCCTGAGCCTCAAGTGAGTACCTCAGAGGTGCATCTTCTCAGCAGTGCCTGGGAATGCCCCACAGGATCCAGTCCCCTGTCTGTAGCAGCCTTCTATTGTCATCATGCTTCCTCTACTCTAGTGTTTCCAGGATTCTTCATCAACCCACTGCCCTTCATTCTTGTTAAAGGACCCAATTCTGAGGAACCTACACTCAAGCACCCCTGCATCTATGTGTCCCTTATTTCACAGATGTGAAGAGGAGGGACTTTTCCCAAGCGAGAGCCAGTGGTCGGTCCCTTCTGAGAGCCCATGTTCCAGGTCTTGGCTTAGCGATCTCTACTCACGAGCTATCCCATGAATTTGGCATTTATTTCTTTCTGCAAAAGAAGTGGTCCAACAGGGTAGTCCCTGCCTGGAACTCCTGAACGTAATGCCTGGGGGTAGACACCACCCTTGAGGTTCTCAGAAGCAGCCCCTTCAGCCTCCGGGGCCTCAGTCTCAGCCTATCGTGGATGAGGCTGCCAGATAGAGAATCTGCTACCTGCTGGGGATGAAAGGTTATTCTGGGAAGTGCCTGCCCACCCTAGGCACAATCTCGGGAAAATAAAAATGCTTAACACCATGTTTTGAACAATTCAAGTTTCTATTTACTTTCTAGTTTTAGTAGAAATGCACATTCTTTCTCTTTGCTGTTGTGTGTGTGCATAACGTGTGGGTGTCAACAGCACATGTGTGGAGGTCAAAAGACAATTTTGTGGGGTCTATTCTCTCCTTCCACCTTCATATGAGTTCTGGGGCTCAAACTCAGGTCATCAGGCTTGTAGGACAAGGACTTTTACTTGCTGATTCATCTTGCTGCCCACAGAAATGCATATTTTTTGACCTAGATTTCCCACTTATTGAGTGGATCATCAGTGAGAAAAGGAGCTCTGCTTTCTACCCATTGAGCCAAGACCCACAGCACTTCTTTCTGTAGTTTCCTGCAGCCTGGGCCTTGCAATCCTGCACTTTCTCAACTGAAGGGAAAGTGGGCGCTAAGGTCCTGTTTTAACACTCCCACTCACCTACTGAGGCTCAATGCACCTTCTCCCCCTGAAACACCAGTTTGTCATCTGTGAAATGAGATGAAGATTCCAATGCTAGGATATCCCTGTCTGGCTACAGCCTGGCAAAAGGCCCAGCAGGAACAGGTACCCCGTCCTCTGCCAGGGAGGTATCCGGGGAGGGGACTGCCACAGGGGAGGGCACAGCCTGGGCGAGGCCTTTTGCTGTCCCTCCCCTCCCCAGGTTGCCCCTGGTGACAAGGCAGAGGATCTACACTGAACTCTCTTCACTTTACCCCAGTTCCTGGAGATGGGAGTTGAAACCATGAACAAAATCTTCCCCCAGGTAAAAGCTGCCGGGAGTCTCAGCCAGCTTCGGACCCAGGGGTGGGGAGCAGCCCTGGAATGGGGAGGGCTGCGGGGGGATACTCTCAGACCTGAGGTCACACTCACCTGCCCTGGGGACTAACATGAGAGCCAGGAGTCCTGGGAGGTAGACAGGAGACTAGGGGTATCAGAGCAGTGTCACCAAGAGGACCTGCCCGAGTCTGTTTGAAGGATATATGTCTGCCCAGGGGATAGAAGAGAAGCACTGGGCAGAAATCACCCACTCACTGCACAGGCCAAAGTGTGGAAACACGAAGCAGGCAGATGAATCTGTGCGGGACTAGTAGTCCCACCTAACCTAAGTCTCTTGAGTAACTCATTCTTAGAAAGCCTGCAGTCTACCCAGCCTGGTTCTGGTCTCTTGGACAGGGAGATGTTGAGGGCAACACTACTGCTGGAAGGAGAGTCCACCGTGGAGAGGAAGGTAAGGATGGAGGTTGAGGTTGGGCTGGGTGCTGTGGGTCGTTCTGGAGCAGCTTCCTGGAAGACTGGCACAGACAGGATTCAAGGTTGCCATTGTTCCTCTGCCCCACTGTTGGTGTCTGCTCCCAGCTTCCAGGCCAGAATTGTTCTTTCTTTCCAGGTACCAGTATTTACAGAGCACCTACTATGTGCCCTGTACCTGCCAGGCAACACATTATACACAGTGCCTATCTGTGGAATTAGGAGAGGGCCTCAGAGTCAACCCCACCTCCATAAATGACCTGAGCAATTCTGTATCTTAGGAAGATAAAACTGTCAGGATCACACACTGTTACGTGTTACTGACTCCCATGCAACCAAGACCCTTGTTTCCTGAGCATGTGTTACGTTTTGGCCCACAGTTGATCACGGAGGAAACAGAGGTGGATGACAAGAATGGCCATAAAAGATCTGCCCCGCTTATGTGCCCAGCAGTACAGTTTTCAGCCTGAGCGGTGGAGCTGCACTGGCAATGCAGAAGAGATAGTGGAGGCTGAGGGGTTGGACAACTAGGTCAAGGTCATACAACTGGGAGGTGGAAGGGTGTGTTGGAACCCAGGCTTCTCAGATGGCAAAGCTCCAGGGTCTTCCTTGCTCCACACTGGTGTTTATTTCCAAGTCCTGGCTCCATGCGGCTGATGGCTGTGGAACCAGGGGCTTTTCTTCCTCTCTCCCAGGTGGGCAGCAACTAAGGGGTTTCTGGCTTTAAAGTGGGCATCTCTCTCCAGTCTCTCCTGCAACCTCATCTCTCACACAAGCTGTGCTGCACAAATATTTGAGGAGTGGCCACTTGGCTGGCCAGAAGTCTGCCCAGCTTTATGCTATCTCCTTGGAGACCCAAGTCTACCCTGTGTTTGCTGACCACAAAGGAGCCACTGACCAGAGCTGTAGGATTATTGGTTTCAAATTTATGCTATGCCTCCTGTCACCTGCTGTTGTCCCCTCTCCTGACCAATTCCCACATGCCTTTACCCTACATGCCTTTACCCTGCCACTTCCCAGGCCTCTCCTCCTACACCTTAAAGAGCTGGAATGTCATCTCCTTAAGCCCTCCTCTGTCCTGCTCCATCTAGAAATCACCTGGTGCTCTGGAGGCCCCTGCATCATCTCACACGCCTCAGTGCCTGGCCCAAGCTTTCCCAGGCTCTTTCCAATCTGACACTGCCTGTGCAGGTCTCACTGGCAGGTGGCTCTGGAAACATGAGTGACTTGAATGGAAACCACCCAAACCGGGGGTGTTCCTTTGCCTTCTACATCTCTGGGTTGCACTTACAGAGCTGAAGTAAGAGCTATGCTTGCTTCTGAGTCTGACCTGGGGCCACTAGGATGAATCAGACTTGCTCCTGCCCTTCTGTGGCCTGGGACAGGGGACCGAGCCCCACTCTTCCCCTGTGGCCATGTCTGGCCCTTTAAGTGTAGCTACAAACTTTCAGAGGGCAAGAACCAGTCACAGCTCCTTTCCTGCCCTCTACAAAGCAAGGCACCCAGGTGTGTGAATGTTTTACCTGCATGTATGTACGTGCACCCATGTTGTACAAAGCCCACAGAGGCCAGAAGACGGTGACAGATCATTTGGAACTGGAGTTACAGACACTTGTTAGCTGCCACATGGGTGCTGGGAATCGAACCTGGGTCCTCTGGAAGAGCAACCAGGGCTCTTAACATCTGAGCCATCTCGCCAGCCCCCACTTTTCATTGTTTTATAAGCAAGTGGGACTAAAGGAGCACAGTACAGTTCTGGAGCATGGGGACGTCTGCAGTTACTCCTATCACCACTATTTCACAATCCTAGAAGAGAGCTTGGCACATGGAGTGCACAGTAAATACTTAGCTTATTCTTAGTACCTACTATGTGAAAGAGCTGTTCTAGAATACCCAGCAAACCAGTCCTCCAAGCAAGCTCTGCAGTAGGCATCATGGTGACCACTTTCTACCCAAGGAAACCAAGGCCCAGAAAAGTGAAGTGGCTTGCTCCTGTGGCCCAGCTAGGAACTGACGGAGCGGGACCTCCAGGCAGCATCCTGGCAGGCCTCAGAACAGATAAGTTGGAATTGTGGAGAGGGTCTGGGTGTTGACATCATACAGGCACAGTGGACTCAAGCCCTAGGCCCGCGTAGGGTGACCAGGATCTTTGCTTCTCTGAGCTTCGGTTTCATCATCCACAGAAATAATGTACTATTGTGAAAACTAGAAATAATGGCTGTGATGAGCCTGAGGTCACTTCTGTCATGGTAGGGGCTGGGCACACAGGTATCCATTGTCATTTATCCCTGGGTCATGAGAATAGACCAGGAATGACAGGAGCAGGAAAGCTGTGGAGCAGAGGTTGGCCAGGGATGACACTTTGCGGAGGGCAGGCAGGATCAGAAAGAGTGGTGGAAGGCTTAGGAGTGCCTCTTCTAGCTCCAGTACTTCCTGGCCCAAAAGGGCTGCTCACAGGGCCTGGATGGCAGTGGATGGCGTCCGTGAACCTCTTTGCTGTCTTTCCCCCACCCCTCCACAGGCTGTGGAATCCTCTGCTGCTCACGCCGTGGGGCCTGCCTCTCTGCCTTCCTGCTGTTGCTGCTGGCCATGCTTGCTGCCCTGCTTGCCCTGGCCATCATCCTCGGATATCCATCTCGCACACCAGGTCAGAGTGTCAAGAGGGAGGTATGGGGGCTCAGGCAGAGGGAACTCCAAGCCTGCCTGGCTTCTCCTTGAAGTGACTTGGCTGGTTCCGTAGAGTGCAAACAGACACAGAGACACCTGAGCACATGGACACAGGACCACGCCACCGTTTGAACATCACTAACATGCACTATTGAGAGGCCCCAGTCCTGATGTCACTTCCTTGAAGAAACCTTCCCTAGTTTCCAGGCTATCTTGGCACATCCTCCCAGGCCCCACAGAGCCCTATTCCGCTGACCTGACTACCCTGTCGACCTACATATTGATCTCGACCACAGACAAGCCTGTGTCCAGTACCTCCCTGCAGTCTGGCTGTAGCAAGCACCCCAGTTCAGCCCCCACCCTCAGGGAGCAGTTTGGGGAACCACGTGGACTGAGTCCAACTCAAGGGCAGGCCTTACGGGGGCTCAAGAGTCTGAAACTGGGGCTCTGATCCAATCTGTGTGTATAAATCAGGTTGGGGGCACCTTGGGAAGCAAATAGGGCCTGAGGTCAGAAGGGAAAATGGAGACTGGTTAGAGAAGAGTATCGGGAAAAGCGTTCCAGGCACAGGGAACAGCATGTGTGGAGTGCTGGAGTGGGAACAAGCATGAGGAAAAGGAAGGACTTTAAGAAAACCATTGGACGTAGTGGGTGGGGCCAGGTGCCCAGGGCCTCAAGAAAGCAGCCATATCCAGGAGCTAAGGGAAGGAAGGGATCATCTCATCCTTCCTAGATTTCTGAGACATGGCTTTGTGGTCAGGAGGGACCAGAGTAAGGGGTGAGGGGAAAAGGGTGAAGACACAGCACTCCACCTGCCACTGCAGAAGGGGGAGCTGTAGCCACGTGCCTGTGTGTGCATGTGCGTGTGAATATCCGTGTGCATGCAGGTGCCTGCCTATCAGTGTTCATGTTAGTGTGTGTATACTTGTGTGTCAGTGTGTGTGTGCATGCATTGGTATATACATGCCAGTGTGTACATCTGTTGTCTATATGCATGTGCATGAAGGTGCAGGTATGTGCATATGAACATGTGTCTGTCACATCTGTCACTGTGTCCTTGAGAGAGCCCTCTCCATCAATAGTTGAGGTCGCTTAGAACTGAGACATGGCTCCAGCATGCATAAATATGTGGACAGAACTGTTGCTCTCCCCTGCCCCATTAATGAGCATGTGTGACCACGGGCACAGCCTGTGACCTCTGTCTCCTCAGTCAAGTTTCTTCTTCAAATTGTTGGGCCATCCCTAGGGGTGGGTGTCCTTCCTCCTGTGGTAGGGGCTAAGAATGATGCCTCTCGGGGACACTGGGGGTGATAACAGAATAAAAATATGAGTCTAGGGCCGGGCGTGGTGGTGCACGCCTTTAATCCCAGCACTGGGAGGCAGAGGCAAGCAGATCTCTGTGAGTTCAAGGCCAGCCTGGTCTACATAATGAATTCCAGGAAAGCTGGAGCTACAGGGAGACCATGTCTCAAAAAGACCAAAAAAAAAAAAAAAAAGTCTTGCAGACTGTAAAGTTATCTCCAGATATAAGGGATTGTAATATATGGTACCCAGACAGCCCATATATATTGTTTCCAACAAGCCAAGCTGGTGCCAAGAGATCTGCCATTAAATCTACCACTAAGGCTGTGTGAAGGATGGCATGCTACCATCATGGCTTCCTGTAAGACCAGACTGTGACCAGCTCCGCACATTCCGTGATCTGCAGCATCCACAAGCACTGCCGTGTCACCCCCAATGGTTCACACGCCCCAGGCCTGGACCACAAAAAAGAACCTGAGGCTCAGGGAGGCCAGGTCACTATGCCTGTCAAGCTGTGGCAGGCAACAGAGTGGTGGCTTCAACCCCATGGTCAACATGGAGTCCAAGGCCTCCCTGCTACCCTAGGCCATAAAGTTGCTCAGAGAAGTTCACGTGGGGGACACTAGGCAGTGCCTGCCCTGCCTGCCCCAAAGCTGCTTTTGTGAGCACTGCCTTCACTCCAGGCCTCTCTTGCCCCTGTAGAGGCCCAGGTCTGTGTGATGTCAACCAACAGGACAGGCTTCTTGTGTCATGACCGCAGGAGCTGCATCCCGGCTCATGGGGTATGTGATGGCGTTCCCACGTGTCCCCATGGTGAGGACGAGGATGAAAGCCTGTGCCGTGAGTACCCTCTATGTCTCATGTCCCCGTCCACACCCATGAACCCACCTTAATTCTCTGTAGCTCTGCTGGAACTTAAGGGCCCTCCTTTGGACCCCCAAAGCCCCTTGCCTCCCCATGTCCCCGCCCTAGTCACACCAGTGTCACCTGCCATCCCAGTTAGACTGCGATTTCCTCCTTGGCAGTCTGTTTGGTCTACTTGATCCCAGAGCCCCAGTACCTGGCACAGGGGTATAAATCGTATGAGAACCCACACCAAGGAAAGAGCTGCCAGCTAGGAGAAGGAAGGGATTAGAACACTGCACCACGGATTCTTTTTTTTTTTTCTGTCTTTTTGAGACAGGGTCTCCCTATAGCCCCAGCTGTCCTGGAACTCACTATGTAGACCAGGCTGGCCTCGAACTCAGAGATCCAGAGATCCACCTGCCTCTGCCTCCCAAGTGCTGGGATTAAAGGTGTGCAACACCATGCACAGATTCTTTTTTAAAAAAATATTTTATTATTTTTATTTTATGTGTATGAGTGTATTGCCCGCATGTATGTAAGTGCACCTGTGTTGTGCAATGCCTGTGGAGAACAGAAGAGGACGTCAGATCCCCCTTGGAACTGAAGTTATAGATGGTTATTAGCCACCATGTTGGTGCTGGGAACCAAATCTGGGTCTTCTGCAAGAGCAGTCAGTGCTCTTAACCACTGAGCCATCTTCCTAGTCCCTGGTCCACAATTCTTGAGAACAAAACTGTCAAGAATCATCTAGTCTCCTGGAGCTGGAGAGATGGCTCAGCGGTTAAGAACACTGGTTGTTCTTGCAGAAGACCCAGGTTCAAATTCCAGCACCCACATGGCAGCTAACAACTGTCTGTAACTCCAGTCCCAGGGGATCCGATAGCCTCTTCTGACCTCCGCAGGCATTGCACAACATGGGTGCACTTACCTATATGCATGGCAATACACACATACACATAAAATAAAAAAAATAATAATAATAAAAAAGAATCATTTAGTCTGGTTGGGCATGGTGTCACACACCTGTAATCCCAGAAGGTAGAGGCAGGAGGATCAGGAGTTCAAGGTCACCTTGGCTACAGTTTGTGTTCCAAATCAGCTTGGGTTACCATACCACCCTGTATTGGAGAGAGAGGGTGGGAGAGGAGAGAGAGACCTAGTCCACACTCCAGCTCTTCAACTCCCACACAATCCCATCTTCAAGCCCAGCAGAGGCTACCCAGCCTCTGCTTAAATGCATCTAAGATGGAGACCCCACTATATGAGGCCGGCTTGGGCTGATTATTCCATGGGGAAGTTCCCTTATCCCAGCTCAGAGCAGCCTCTAGCACTCCAGGATTGGTTGCAGTAGGACCCCATAATCCCTAACTGATAGGCTCCTTTTAATGCCTCCCCTGTTTGTTGGTTCTGCAGGAATTTGGGACTGCTCTTTCCTCACTTGTCCCCTTCCAGCCACATCCCAAACTCCCACAATTACACCCCTGGTGCCCCAGTTCTGGTCCTCTTACTCCACTAGAGCACACACCTATGCCCTCTTTGGACAGGCCCCCAAAGTATCCATGACACTTCCTGTTGGATCTGGTTAGTCAAAGAACAATGAACAAAGTCTTGTCCCCTCTCCAATCTGGGATTTATATCTGTGGCTATGTGGGCTGGGTTTGAGTGAACTTGGGTCACCCTGCCACATGGCTGCCTAACACAGAACCTACTTTGGAGATCTGGGGCCCAAGTGGAAGTGTCATTCTTACTTGCTACGTTCTGATGGGAGGAACCTAACCCAAGATGGAAGGTGGAGGGCTTTGCAGAGGTGCAGAGGAGAACTTCTGGAGTGAGGACACACACAATGATGGGGAAGGGACATGCAGGATCTGGGTAAAGAGGGAAGATGCTCTAGGGGCCTCTCCTCCCTGGGAAAACTTCTCTGTCCTTCTTGGGATGAATGGGGGAGACCCTGAGTGTGCTAACTGCTGGGTGGTCAATGTGATCCAGCTGCAGGTGACTGAGGCAGCTGTGGCCAGATGTGAATTTTGTCCTGCCTTATCTATCCGTCTATAGGAGATGTGCCCTGGAGCCTCCCCAGCTACCTCCTGGCCTACTGCGGAGACCCAGACTCCTGGATCTACTCAGACCAGAAGTGTGATGGCACCAACAACTGTGGAGACTGCTCGGATGAGCTGAGCCCAGGTAGGGGTCCAGGCTCAGGTGAGCTGGAGCAGGTGACAAGGGCAGTAACATAGGACAGAGGCTGAGCAGAGATCTCTGAAGTCCCCTGCGTGCCTTCCCTGTGTCCTGGGAAGTCTTCCATTCCCACTTGAACTCCTCTAGGGTGGAGGTGTTGGGACCTGGAGCTTTTCCCATGGTACCTCCAGGGCACCAACTGGACATGTGCCCTTAGGGTGACTGAGCAAACAGAACATGCCCTGCTACCTGGCTCAGGTTCCAGATTTCCTTCTGTCCTAGGCACCTCCCAGCAGCTCTGTGAGGAGGGCAGGGCAGGACCTGCTGCTCCAGTTCATATGTAGACAGCTTGAAGCTCCAAGAAGGGAATCTAGGAGTTTGGGGTAAAGCTCTGGTCCCAGAGATCCTTCCCAGGGGCTGGAGAGATGGTCAGTCAGTAAAGTACTGGCTACACAAGCATGAGAACCCAAGCTCCACCCCCAGGACCCACATGGTAGAAGGGGAGAACCCAACCTCCACCCCCAGGACCCACATGGTAGAAGGGGAGAACCCAACCTCCACCCCCAGGACCCACATGGTAGAAGGGGAGAACCCAACCTCCACCCCCAGGACCCACATGGTAGAAGGGGAGAACCCAAGCTCCACCCCCAGGACCCACATGGTAGAAGGGGAGAACTGACTTCCACAGTTGTTCTCTGACCTCTATACATGCCACATGGCATCCAGGGGCGCGTGCACATGCACACATACACAAATAAATGTAATAAAAATTCTATTAAAAAGTTGGAGGGCTGGGGATGTAGCTCAGTTGGTAGAGTGCCTGCCTAGCAAGCATGAAGCCCGGAGTTGACCCTCAGCATGTATTAGCGGTGGTACTGTATTCCTGTAAGCCCCCAACAACGTGAAAGAGGGGGCAGGAAGATCAAAAAGTTCAAAAGTGAACTGAAGGCCAGCCTGGGCTCAAAAAGAAAAAAAAAAGGTGGGGGGAAGGTTAACAGTTGGAGAAGACACCTATTATAGGTGTCTGGCTTACATACAAACACATACATACATGACATGTAATGCACCCACATGTGTCCATGCACATACACACACACACACACACACACACACACACACACATTATTTTCCCAGTGTTCCATCTACAAGCATGCACTGAGCACTTTTGGGGTGAAGTACACCCCCAAGACTACATTGTGTTGGTGCCAAAAGGCAGTGCTGGGGAGGAATCCAGGGAGACTTCTCAGAAAAGGTAACATGGTGCAGGCCTGAAGGACAGGGACCAACAGGCAGGGGTGGTGTGAGAAGCAATGCTGGAGGCCAAGGGCACAGGGCAGGGGACAGAAGAGAAGCACCCCCAGAGCATCCTAGAGAGCTGGGGGTGGGGTGGACAGGACCAATAGCTGCTCTTCTGCCTGCTCTTGTCCCCTCAGTAACTGCATGCCCACCATGTGGCTTTGGGTGGTGGCGATGTACTCCGACTGTCTTCAAGTACTGCAACTGTATCCCGAGAAGTCTGTGTCGGGACCATGTGCAACACTGCTCCGACTGGTCAGATGAGTACTCCTGTCCTGGACCCTGAGTGGCCCTCCCAGGCCAACATGCAGGCTGGTTAGAATGGCATGGATAACCCTTCACAAGAACATCAAACCCTAGACCACAAGGGCAAGAATGAGCTTTTTACTTCATCCAGTGGCTTCTCCACATAGTCTCTGATTAGGAATTGCTTTTCCTCTTTTCCAGTTGTTTATCTTCTACTTGAACACCTTTAGGGGCAGTGTGCTCATGACCATGTTAGCTAGCTTCTATCAAAGCATGCCTTTAATTCCAGCACTTGGGAGGCAGAGGCAGACAGATCTCTGTGAGCTCAAGGCCAAGTTCCGGGCTAGCTGGAACTACAGGGAGACACTGTCTCAAAAAGAAAAAAAAAAAAAAAAAAAAAAGAGGTAGCTTGAGGGTCTGGGAGAGATGGCTCAGCACTGGCTGCTCTTGCAGGGGACCTGAGTTCAGCTCCTAGCACCCACATGGCAGCTAACAACCATCTATAACTCCAATTCCAGGGGATCTGATGCCCTCTTCTGACCTCCTCAGGCATTGCACAACATGAGTGTTCTTACATACTTGTAGGCAACACACTCATACACACAAAATAAAAATAACAAAATATTGTTTTAAAAGAGGTAGCTCGAAGCACTGACTGTTCTTACGGAAGACCCAGGTTCGAATCCCAGCACCCACATGGCAGCTAACAACTGTCCGAAACTCCAGTTCCAGGGGATCCGACGGCCTCTTCTGTCCTCTGCAGCGGGCATTGCATGACACGGGTGCACTTACCTACATGCAGGCAGTACACGCATACACATAAAATAAAAATAAAAAATAATAAATAAAATGTTTTTTTTAAAAAGAGGTAGCTTAAGGATCTGAGAGTGTCTTGCCCTTATTCTGAAAGAGACTTGGGATCTGGCTGATGGAAGAGTTCCTGTTGCAGGAAGCAGATATAGCCCTACCAGAAACTAATAAAATTGGTTTTCTATCAGTGTCTCATGAGGTCTGACCCGGAAATGGATACCTGAGAAACTGCTGAGCTCTGACCAGCATTCATTTGTTCATTTGTTTGTTCACTCAGCCAAAAGAGATGGTTCAGAAACCAAGCCAAGAGCTGGTGCCGGTCCCCTGAGAAGGGCCTGGGGTCTGGTACACGAGCAGCATGAGGTCTTATGGGGAACCCACTTTATACCACAAAGGAATGGGTGGAATAGCAGGAAATGCTAGGGCCCAATGAGTAGTCCCTGGGAAGCAGGGATGGTGGCCTTCCAGACCCTGAAGAGAAGACCAGATCCTAGAACAGGTGCCTGGGGATCCTGCCTGTGGGATGGTCAGCCTCAGCTCTGACCCCTTCAGCCATTTCTCTGCAGAAGGTGGGGGCTGGCTTCAGGAGGGGGCATTCCACACTTGGTCCATGCGAGCCTCCTGACAGATGTACTCAACTAGAATGATCTAGGAGGTGCTCAAAGCCTGGCTGTGTGTAAGAAACATGGATCCTCTCTTTATAGTAAGAGACCTGAACTCAGGGAAGCAGTTTATTTTAGGACCTTGCAAAGTCGGGTGTTGGCCTAGAGTGGCAGGTATGCTGATTGAGCGCAGAGAACAGTTCATAAACCCTAGCACAGGATCCTTCCTCCCCTTTTTGAAAAATCAGGAGTGTACAATCTTACATCTTATATCTTAGGTTTCCCTCTGTCCCTGACATTTCTCTTTTTTTTCAACAAAAAGTGTGTGTGGATTCATCTCTATGTTTCACATCCTGTTTATTTTAAAGCTTACCAGGCACAGGACTTTTCAGGCAAGCTTGACTGTTAGTAATTTTCTACTCTAATTTCTAGTTTGGGTGTGTGTGGTAGGGGTAGATTAGCAGAGTTCTGGAGATAACTAGACTTAGAGATTAACTGAGGTCTAGTGTTTTCTGTTCATTTGTAGCTGGACCTAAGCTGGCTCAAAGCATCTTTGAAAATGAGCCATCAGACTTCAAACAGGTAGAGGGAGAACACAATGGAGGGAGGGTGGAATTAATGAGGGCAGTATCACACAGACAGTGGGGTGCCGACAGATTAAGCAGGGAAACAGGATTTTTTTTTTTTTAATGTGTATGAGTGTTTTGCCTGCGGGTATATAAGTGTACCCATGTTGTGCAATGCCCACAGAGGCCAGAAAAGGGTGTTGGATCCCCTGGTACTGGAGTTTCAGACGCTTGTTAGCCACCATGTGGGTGCTAGGAACTGAACCCAGGTCCTCTGTAAGAACAGCCAGTGCTCTCAACCAATGAACCATCTCTCCAGCCCCAGGACTGTCCTAAAACTTGTCCCTTGGGAAAGAGGAGGATGTCTCAGTAGGAAAAATGCTTACTGTGCAAATATGAGGACCTGAGTTTGAATTTCCAACATTCATGTAAAAACCAGTAGTGACTGGTATCTGTAACTTCAGTGCTGGGGGGAGGGGCAGAGGTGGATGGATCCCGAGGACTGACTGGCTGGCCAGTCTAGTTGATGAGCAATAGGTTCAAGGAGAGATTCTGTCTCAAAAAATAAGGTGGAGGAATAGTGAGACAGCTCAACAGGTAAAGGCACCCACTGCTAAGCTTAAGGATCTGAGTTCGATCCCTGGAAACCACATAGTGAATGGGGAGAACCAACTCTTGAGACTTGTCCTCTGGCCTCTGCATTGCACTGTAGCATGCTTGCCCACACACAAACTCAAAAGTAAAATAACTAGCAATGAAATAAAATAAAAATAAGGGGAGAATGATTGAGGAAGACACCAATGTCAATCTCTGACCTCCATACGCATACACACACACACACACACACACACCATAGTAAACAAATAGAATAGAATAGAGCCTGTCTGAACAGTGTATGATATTGGGGACAGCAGCTTATGGAGCTTGGACACTTGGGAGACACTCATTGCTATGTGCTATCTCAGGGGTTTTGTGAAGGCATGCTAATCAAAGTAGAGGTCTGAGCCAGGGCCTTGGAGAGGACCCAGCCAGGTAGGAGGCTGGGAAATGTGTATAGGTGAGTACAGGATGGGAACAGGAGGGCCACTGGCCACTGAAGGAACAAGGTAGTCTCAGTGGCTAGAGTGCGTAAAATAGCCTTAGGGGCTGGCTTGGCAAGGGGTCTTGGCTGAAAGACCACAGGCTGTTTTTAGCAGAAGAAATACATTGTGTTCTTTGCGAAGAGGGACTGCAAAGAAGCCTGGGGAATTGTGGGGGTCTCTCCCTCTCTTTGCGGGTCGTTGGCCACTGGTCCACGAGGGCAGGGGGAGCAGAAGCGGCGAACGGAGTCAGGACGGCCAGTGAGCACTGATGGAAGAAAGCCCTTCTGGGGAGGCTGGTCCCACGGCGCAGTGAAACAGCAGTGATACAGCTCCAGACTCAGTGAAACAGCTCCATTTATTCAGTGGGAGAACTAGAGAAATTATTGTGTGGAGGCAGTAGCCAAAGCCTCAGCTGATAAGTGCTCATGGTATGCTTTATTTACATGTGGCAGTGGGCTCCTATCAGGCAAGGCCTGATTATCATATAGAAAAAACCTGGGGGTAGTTTTTACTCCAGGTAACTATGCCAAAGGTCATGTTCCAAATAAAGTCAGGCATCCGTGCTTGGTGGCACTTTCCAGGTAAGCCAGGAAGAGAGCAGGAGGCCCCCTGCTGAAAAGGGGAGTCTCCATTTGGCACCGAGCCCCTTAGGGCTATCCAGACATGGAGAACTACAACCCTAACAGCAGGGTTTCCCAACAGGGAATAAGGATCCAATCCAGGCTATCCTGCAGGCTCATGCAGGAGTCAGAGCTTCCCAGGCAGATCTGTGGCTCTTATGAGCATTAGCAGCAGTGGTCTGTGAGCATTGGGAATAGGGATCCAATCCAGGCTATCCTGCAGGCAGATCTGTGGCTCTTATGAGCATTAGCAGCAGTGGTCTGTGAGCATTTAGCCTATGTCACTGTGTGCCTCTGTAAGCCTTTATCAGTTAATCTCTGCAATGGCATTTTCTCTGGTCTTTACCACTGCTCCCAGGCCTGGTTTGGCTAGTCACACTTTCCAGAGGCACAGAGAGATGAAATTGCTTGCCTAAGATCACACAGCTTTTAAGAGTCAGAAGGCTGATGCCCAAGTCCAGAGCCCACTCCAGTCCTCCTAAGGCCTCCCTCTCTTTCAGCCAGGCTTCTGCTGGAGCCTGTCAGGTACCACAGAAGGTGCATGAGAGGTGGCTGGTGTTTGTTCTTATTTTGGGGGTCTTCCTTTCATAAAGGAGAAGGTACCATAGCCACCTCCCAAACAGCTCTCTGTAAGGTGACCCAGGAAGATACAGGCCTGGGGCCTGAGCCAAGCAGGCCCGCCCCTGGTGCCAGGCCGCAGAGCAGCCAAGAGAGACAGCTCAGCAGCTAGTGTCAATATTTGCCTTGTCCCCGCCTCTCTGGCTCCAGCCCCAAGATCAAGGCTCTAAAGTACAACAGGTTTTTCACTGTGCAAACCCACAGGGATAGATGAGTGGAATTTAAAGTGGCTCTGGGGGGCCCAGGGCTTGAGTTGGAAATCTGCTCTGGGTTTGCTGGGGGTCTGCTGTTGCTGTTTGCTGGGGGCTCTTCTTTTGTCAGGCTCACAGAACCTCAAATGCTAGAGCTGGCAGGAGGCTCAGAGCAGTCTGGGCTTTTGACAAAAGAGGACCCTGCCTCCCAGAGAGGACAGGGACCAGACTAAAGCTGCTGTTCTGCCTGGTGGTTGTCACTGGAGTTTTGAAGGCCACATAGAAGCAATGTCAGAGAATCTTTTTTTGAGATGGTCTCATGTATCCTAGAGTAGTCTCAAACTCACTATATATCCAAGTCTGGCATGAGTGTTACACACATACCCCTATTTTCACAGCAGTTCGCATTTCTTTGTGGGGATACTTGCAAGACATTCAGTGGTTGGGTAAACAGTACTAAGCTCTCTAGACACTATGCTTTCCCCAAACATACTTATACATACCTATGATAGTTTAACTTATTAATTCAGTACAGACCAAGATTAACAAAA